TCACGGTCTTTCCTGCCCGGGCTGGCTTTGAACCGCGATCCTCAGATCTCAGCCTCCTGAGTAGCTAGGATGACAGGCGTGAGCCACCAGCGCCCGGCTCCAGTGTCTTTATTTTTGCCCTTCTGAAAAGCCCTAAATAGACAAAGCTCACTATACAGCCCAAGGTGACCTTGAATTCAAGATTCTCTGGCCTCAGCCTCTCAAGTGCTGGGATTACAGGCTTGTGTCACTGCACTCAGTCTCACAAGAGGCCCTATTCACCTTTCCAAAAGCTGTTTTCTGTGACCCCTGAGCATTTGCACATGCTGTCCTCTTGTACCTGACAAACTCATGCTCACCCTTTGCTTGGCTTCAATGCCATCTCCTGCAGGAAGCCTGCCTGGAGGCCCGCTCAATGACATGCCTATTCACCAGAGTCTGTATCTTCTGAACACCACACAATGAACAGATGTGTGAAACCAGAGACATAGATAGAGAATGGAGAAGATGGAGAAGAAGGCTTTCTTCTTCTTCTTCTTCTTCCTCTTCTTCTTCTTCTTCTCCTTCTTTTTGTCCATGTGGGTCTTGAACTCTGGGCCTGGGAGCTGTCCCTGAGCTCTTCAGTTCAAGACAAGAACTCTACCACTTGAGCCACAGCGCCACTTCTGGTTTTCTGGTGGTTCATTGGAGATAAGAGTCTCATGGCCTTTCCTGCCCAGGCTGGCTTTGAACCCCCATCCTCAGACCTCAGTCTCCTGATTAGCTAGGATTACAGGCATGAGCCACCGGCACCCGGCTTTCCTTTTCTTTTTTTGAACTTGGGGGCTCACACTTGCTAGGTAAGCACTCGACAACTTGAGCCACACTCTAGCTCTTTTTGCTTTAGTTATCTTTCCAATAAGAGCTTCCTGCCCAGGCTTTCCTGTACCTAGATCTTCCTCCCCCTCCCCCAACCTCCTGAGCAGCTGGGATTACACGTGTGAACTATCACACCTGACGTGACAGAGAAGTTTTGAGTGACTCAAGGGGTTAGCAAATGGTTTCTAGGTAAACCTATGAATGACCTGAACAACCTAATACCATTCTCTTTAAGAGAGTTTAAGGCCCGGTGCCCATGGCTACATCTGTGATCCTAGCTACTCAGAAGGATGAGGTCTGAGGATCATGGTTCAAAGCCAGCCCCGGCAGGAAAGTCCAGGAGATTCTTTTTTTTTTTTTTTGGGTCCGGTCGTGGGGCCTGAACTCTGGGCCTGGGCGCTGTCCCTCAGCTCTTCAGCTCAAGGCTAGCGCTCTACCACTTGAGCCACAGCGCCACTTCCGGCTTTTTTCTTTTTGCTTATGTGGTGCTGAGGAATCGAACCCAGGGCCTCAGGCATGCAAGGCAAGCGCTCTACCACTGAGCCACCTTCCCAGCCCCGTCCAGGAGATTCTTATCTCCAATGAACCCCCAGAAAACCGGAAGTGGTGCTGTGGCTCAAAGTGGTAGAGCACTGGCCTTAAGCAAAAAAGCAGGGGCAGCGCCCAGCTCTGAGTTCAAGTCCCACAACTGATGTGGGGAGGAAGCTTAGGTTGAGTAGAACTTGTAAGATGGGTTAAAGGCAGCAATCGGGCCTTGGGGGAGGAGAAGGGGATCCTAGGACTATGATAGAGGAACGCTCCGGTCACGAAGTCTAGCCTGAGTGGCCTAGATGTGGGCCTTCAGGCTGCAGCCTGAGAGCCCCCATCCCACCCAGCATCCCCTGCCCCGCCACACTCACCGAGACCGTGGAGCTGGGCGTATTGGTGCCATAGCCGGAGGAGGGGAGGGAGGCCAGTGACCAGCGGCGACCGTCTGCCCTGGAAGCCAACCAAGACGCTCAGAGGCCGCCAGGCCCCGCCCCATTTCTCAGGGTGGGAGAGACACCACCAGCCACAGCCAGGCCAGGCAGGGAGTAATGGCCCTATGTCTGGGCTCTGAGATCCCCCAAGACCCTCCAAGTGGAGCAGGCACAGAGGGAATTTTCTAGCTAGTTCTCAGGGGGTTGGCAGGAAGTTTGGTCTCCTCTGCCCCAGTCCCATGATCCTCCTCTTGTCTGCTCTCCCTTCACACCAGTCTCCAGAAGGAACAACCAGCAGCACTGGAACAGTGGAGGGAGGTGCAGGGAGGGGCAAGAGAGTGTTTCCTTTGCATGTGCCCGCCAACATCCACACAGAGCTGGACACCAGTGCTCACGCCTGTAATCGTAGCTACTCAGGAGGCTGAGATCTGAGGATTGGGCATTTGAAGCCAGCCAAGCCAGGAAAGTCCGTGAGATTCTTTTTTTTTTTTTTTTGGTTGGTCGTGGGGCTTGAGTTCTGGGCCTGGGCGTTGTCCCTCAGCTCTTCAGCTCAAGGCAGCGCTCTACCACCTGAGCCACAGCGCCACTTCCTGCTTTTTCTGCTTATGTGGTGCTGAGGATCTGAACCCAGGGCCTCATGCATGCAAGGCAAGCGCTCTACCACTGAGCCACCTTCCCAGCCCCAAGTCTGTGAGATCCTTATCCCCAGCGAACCAGCAGGGAAAAAAAAGACAGAACTGGAGGTGTAGCTCAAGTGGTAGAGCACCAGCCTTAAGGGAAAAAGCTAAGGGGTAATGCCAGTTAATCCAATCTCAGCACTGGCACCACCAAAAGAAAAAGGAGGAGGAGAAAAGGAGGAGGAAGAGGAGGAGTAGGAGGAAGAAGAGGAAGAGGAGGAGGCGGTGCAGCAGCAACAGCATATAAGTAAATAAAATCCACACAACAAATCATCCCCAAGGACTCTGGAAGCCACTCTGGGGACCTCCGAGTGCCAAAGCTCTTAAAGGAAGACTTTCTGGGTCTTCACGGGGAAGAAGAACCCTTCCATCTTATGCTCACACATCGAGCTACTATTCAGAGTGTCTACTGTCAGCCCAGCCAATTACAGCTCCACCCACTCACGGTAGCATGACCAGTGTGGTCCGGGTCTCTCTCTCTCTCTCACACACACACACACACACACACACACACCGCCTGAAGCAATGGGCAGTCAATCACAGATGGGAAAGGAAATACACAGTGACGTCACACACACACACACACACGCTTCCAGAGACCCAGGACTCACACCGACGAGCGCGCGCACCACCCTGTAGCTCACTACATTCATGGGAATCCACACCCCAAGAGTTCTCTCTGTAACTGTCACACAGACTCCCACACAGACTCACAACCTCACACTCACCCACATCCGCAAGCTGACGCGCTCCCGGGGGGCCATGGCATGTGATCACACACACACATTCACGCCCATTGGACACATGCTGGTGACATGCTGTGGACACAGTTGTAGGCACATGGCCATCACTTAGTCACCATCTCTTACACATCCACGTGGCATACAAATGACCATGTGGACACACACACAGACCCCTACCCCCCCTTATATACACACATATATATGTATATATTGTGTGCATGTGTGCACTGGTCCTGGGGCTTGAACTCAGGGCCTGCACACTGTCCCTGAGCTCTACTGATTAAGGCTGGTGCTCTACTACTTGAGCCACAGCTCCACTTTCTGGCTTTTTGGTGATTCATTGGAGAGAAGAGTCTCATGGACTTTCCTGCCCAGGCTGGTTTCAAACTTTGATCTTAGTCTTTTTTTCTTTCTTTCTTTCCTTCTGTCAGTCGTGGGGCTTGAACTCTGGGCCTGGGCGCTGTCCCTGCACTCCTCAGCTCAAGGTGAGCACTCTACCTCTTGAGCCACAGCACCACTTCCAGTTTTCTAGTGGTTTATTGGAGATCAGAGGCTCACAGACTTTTCCCAGGCTGGCATTGAACCGCGATCCTCAGATCTCAGCCTCCTGAGTAGCTAGGATGACAGGCGGGAGCCACCAGCGCCCGGCTGGGATTATAGGAGGAACCATAGGTGCTCGGCTCAAAATCTCTTATTTTTCCACCTCCCACCTCTACCCAGATGAGCATGTCAGGTCAAATCCAGAGCCAGCCCTAGCTTTGTGTCACCCTCAAGTACCTGCAACAAATCAAGCGCACGTCCCCCCTCCCCAGCCCTGTCCCAGCCCGCTCTCCTCTGCCCCCACTGTCCTGTGTCCCCTCATCCCCTTCTTCAGTCTGTACAATGATCTCCACTCTGTCCTTCCTGCTCCGATTCCATGGCTTAAGACAGAGACCTGGTGTCATTCACCTCATACGTCTAGCTCCTAGCAGGCGTTTACACACCAGTTTTAGAACAAAAACGATAATAATAATAATAAAAGATATCTCCTCTAAACCCCAATGATTCCCAGAAAGCTTCTCCAAAAACCATCAGAGAAGAACCTCTTCTTCTCCCAATTTCACAAGGCATTCCTTGCCGCCCTCCTCCCCCCTCAAAAAAAAATTCAATTCAGAACACCTTAGAACGCATGGGAGGCAAACCTGACATTCCTCCTTTGGGGACCTTGAGAAATAGCCCCAGCCACCCTCCTCCTCTTCTGCGCATGCGCACCTCATCCCTCTGCCCGTCCTGTTGCTATGGAAACTCATGGCCAGGCCCGCGGGGCTGAGCAGTGAGAGACCCTGGACCTAAAGCGCATGCTCCTTCCCAGGGCTGCAAAGAAGGTCCCGCCCCCATCCCCATCCTGGGTCAGTGATTGGCTCTGCCTTTTTATAGGCCCCCACCCCTAAATCTGGACGTTCCATCCCCTTGGGATTTTCGGGCACTCCGCGAGCCCCACAGGGGGCCCCGCTAGGGGGCAATTAAGAGGTTGACAGATGGAGGCCCAGACGGTGGGTGGAGGGTCCAGACAGGGTTCTGGGGTCCCCTGGGGAGGGACTCACCTTCGGGATGAGGCAAATGAGAAGTGGGCAGGAGTATTGGGGGAGAAGTTTCTGGGACTGTCCAGGGGACTGCTACCTGTAATGGAAAGAAGGAGGGGGTGCTTTAGACCTGCGTCGGAGGTTCCCGAAGTAGGTTGTAGTCTAGTCCTTCCCTGAAAACAAAACAAAACAACGCCAACATAAAAAAAACCCGCCGGGCACGGTGGTTCACGCCTGTAGTCCTTGCTACTCAGGAGGTTGAGAGCTGAGACCTCGGTTCGAAGCCAGCTAGAGCGGGAAGTCCGTGAGACTCTTATCTCCAGTTACCTACTCAGAAAAAGCCGGACGTGGCGCTGTGGCTCAAGCGGTAGAGCGCTGCCTTGAGCTGAAGCGCTGAGGGGCAGCGCCCAGGCCCAGAGTTCAAGACCCACGACCGACCAAAACAAAACCAAAAACAAGCAAAAGCCCCACCCTCTGCATCCGGAGGCCACGCCCCTTTGGATGTGGCCCCGCCTCTCCAAATACGTTTAGCTCCAGAATTAGCCTAGTCCCCTCCTTGCCTTCCTGGGCGATGGGCCCGCCCTTCGATTGCGGCTCTTCCTCACTGCCCTACCCGATAACCAATCCAGCTTCTCCAAAGCTCTGTCCATCAACGAGGAATGGCCACGCCCACACGTGGAGGGCCCGCCCGCTTAGGACGTGCTCCAATCACAGTCCGCCCCCTCTAGCGCCCCCTTTCGACAGCAGAGCCACGCCCCCGGCGGTGGCCCCGCCTCCTAGAATCTGGGCCCCGCCCACCAGCTCCCGCCACCCCTCTCACCTAAGTGGCCAGGCAGCGGCGAGTGGGGCCGGGGCAGCGTGGGCGAGGTGCTGGTCAGGATGAGGCTTTTCCGGTTACTGGTGCGGCAGCTGCAGGGGAAGTGAAGGGGGGGGGCGACAGGCCACACAGCCAGGTGAGCTCCCCAGCCTGCCCAGCCCCCTCCAATCACAGCTCCTTGTCATCTGTCCCTGACGGTCCCTTGTAGGAACCCCAGGAAGGCTGCCTGGGCGAGGCAGCAGCGCGGCAGATAAATGTGTGCGGGGTGTGTGACACGGTCCCTGGTGGGGGAGTGACGCCGTTGTGGTCTTGTGTCCCCTGTGTGTCCCCTGGTATGTCGTCACCCGTGGAACCCCTTCAGTGCTGTGACGTCATCTGGGACCCTGGTGGATCCATTTGCCCACGACTGTGTGTGACGTAGCACTTGTCTACAGGTGTCTGGCACGCGGCCCTGTGTCCGTGTGCGGAGTCGTGCGCGTCCACGCGTGGCCTCAAGCCATCGGTGAGCTCCACGTCCAGTGCCCCGGGACGGGCCTGAGCACGCGACCACGAAGGGCGACCGTGGACGCTGCTGTCTGTCTCGGGGAGATGCCCGGGCTCGCCTGGTCCGGGGTCGGCGGGGCACAGCGGGGCACACCCCTGGGCAGCACGTCCCGCGTGGGGCAGCGGCCGGGGCGTGCCGGGGCCGAGTCCGCGTGCACCCCCGGTGTATCTGGGCCGGCGGGGCTGCCGTGAGCGTGCGGGAGTGACATCATGTCCTGTGTGTGGCCGCGTCCCGGGGGAGGGGGCTGGACTCTGGGTTTCAAGGCCCCCCCTTTTTGCTGCTACCTCCCGTCTCCAGCTCCAGGCGAGGGGCCCCTCCCGGCCCGCAGCCGGGCGCTCCGCCGCAGTG